TGCTGAAGTACAAGGCCTCATAACTAGCCAAACCTGCTATGAGAGACCAGGAGGCTGATTAAAACTGCTAAAAGACAGAGGTAAGAAACTGCTTGTGCTGAAGTGGAACTAGGTGTACCAGGATGCACTGAAAGATGAAACACTTGCCTCAGTCTGCGTGCTCTCTGGCAAAAGAAAACTACCAGCTATGCTAGAAATTCACACTGTGCCTTGGCGTTGGAAAATACTTTGGACCAGCTCAACTGAGACAGACAGAAAAATAGAATACTGACAAAAAGGAGACTGTTGCTATGAGATAAAAACATTTCGCTAAGCTAAAAGGTTTGCTGAGCAAGGAGGTTTGGCTTAGCAAAAAATAACTTAACAATCAGCCACTTCATTCTATAAAAGCCCTGTCACATTCTTGATCAAGCCAAATTCGTGCTTGCTTTCCCTATATTTGATCATTCTCCCCATGAGTGGGGATGCCCCTTGAATGATAACTCCTCAGAGTCTGAGTGAAAGGGAGCTACCCACAGTTGTTGGGTAGGGTAAGTAACGTCAATCCTTATTCAAAAATTAAGCTAACTTTAAGATATAGCATTAGTTATTGTTCCAGATATAGTAAATGCCCATTAATAAGTAGTTGCTATAACACATTGTGTAGTGCATTTGCTGATTTATGTCCTTTAGCCCAATCCCATTATTATAAGTTTTGCTTTGTCTGTACATACAGTCTAGTCTGCCATTCTTAAACCCATACAGAACACTAGATAAAGGAATCAATGCATAACTAGAGTGATTTGTCCTAGAAAGTATACAAGGAAAACAATGTTTTTCCAATGTGAGCCAGATACTTGCGATGCAGAGGTTTGCAAGGCTCCCTGTACCTCAGCAACTGTATCTATAATACCCTGTAAAGACCATCATAAAGATAAGGAAAACGTAATTTAAAGCACGTTGCTGCTTTGAGGAGAGATAGGGAGAGGTACAAGGGCAGTGAAAAGTTTGTTCCAGATACAGGATAAAAAGAGGGGATGAAAGATTAAAGATCAGTTAAAGAATGAAGGGAGTGCAGATGCCTGCAAATAGTAATGAAGCTGACCTACATGTCCAAGCCCACCAGGACATCAGCCTGCCACTTTGCATAACCCAGTGGACTCTGCACCAGGTCCATGTCCAGAAGATTTGGAGTCAAATAGTAAAGCAGCACGGAAATGCAACTTAGCACTACGTGGTGTCAAGTTGGATTTATGTTAGGTTTATTTTGGTGTGACGTAATAGCCAGAATGCAGTTTCACTTACATTAGTGTAAAGCTAGAATAACGATATTTTATGTTGTTATTCTGGTTTTCCATTGGTGTAACTGTGATCTCAATTTGGCCTTCTTTTTGGAAATTAATAAGGATAATGACAAAATGTCAACTAATGGAAAATATTTAAAGAGTAAAAAGAGTATTAAATGAGAGGGCAATAAAAGGGCTTTCCTCTGATCTCAGCACAAGTTCAACTCCAGCACAAGTTCAACTCCAGTTCAACAAGTTCCACTCCAGCACAAAGCTACATTTACAGCAATCAAATACAAGCCTGTTAGTGTTTGGGGTGTTATAGCTGCTTTTGAAGGTTTCTTTTTAATTTTCATTGTATGGACTGCCACAACTGGGATCAAAGCAATTTGTATGTTCTCCTGTAGCTTTTGAAGAAAATTTCAGACAGTAAACAGGCCTAGTACAGCAACTCTCAGAAATGTTCTTTGCCCTGCTGTGGTCCCTGTACATCTACTGCAGCAATGAGAAAGTAACAAATAGTAAATAAAAATGGATCCAGGGCAGAAATTAGTTGCATGGGGAGTTTCCTATTTGGACAGAGCAGATTAAATGTTTTTTATCTCACCATAAAACTGAAGTTTGCCAGCAGAGAAATCTTAATGCAGCTTCCCTAGTTTTCAGATATTTTGCAGCCATTATTTCACTTGGTCTGTGAATTTGCTATTCTTTAAACTGATATTCAGCAGG